GGGTCCAGAGCTCCTCCATCAGCTAAGTTCACAGAGTGAGAGCCCACAGCAACATGCTGCCACCACCATGCCAGGCTCCTCCCCGTCATAGCAGAAGCAGCTTTACCAGTGAACTGGTTTCACTGGGCCGTCTCTGGAGGTTCAGTTCATGGCAGGCTGACCAGTTTCCTCTCTTTTGGGTCTTCTCCTCGATTCTGAACACAAACTGATTCTCAGCGAACCTGGACTCTTAGACGGAGTCTTATTTTGAAGGCTCGCCCAGCCGCTTCCTGTTTGGTCGGTAATATTCGGTTCTGGTTCGGCTGTCGGTGCTTTCAGGATCAAAATGACCAAACTGCAGCTGCTCAGCGCCTACCTGACGGAGCGGCTCACCGCCGTGGTGAAGGAGGTTCTGGACGTGGTGGAGGACACGGTGGCCCAGTACCGGGAGGAGACGGCCAGAACCCGGCGGGAGAACGAGAGCCTGCGGAGGCAGCTGCGGGACATCCTGCTGCTGGAGGCCGAGACCGAGTGGCTGAGTGAGGGTCGTTCCAAACCCCTCAGGGAAATCTCTGGTTTTAAAACTTACTAGCGATTTTAACATTAAATATTGACCAAATCAAATTTGTAAAACCTTTTCTGTGCAGACCAGAACCGCGTTTAATATTCGGCTTTAGATTAAAGGACCATTTCTGTCGATATATTAAAACAAAAGGGACTTTTTCAGGGTTTGATCGCTACTTCCTCTTCCCTTGAAGCCTGATGGAGAATCAGCTGATGGTGACTTTCATTAGAAACTAACAGACTGTGCTGACCAGCTCAGTGGAAATCACCCCGAGTTATTGTGTAACTGATATTGGGTCTAAATGAGTCCCACTGAACAAATGTGTTAGTTTATGTTGATATGTAAACACAAAATATTTTTAGAAAAGCTTTAACGGACGTTCAGCCGGAGTCTGTGCTGTAATGTGAGCAGAATCATACAGATACAGCTCATTAAATTATGTTATCAAAAGGTTAATTTAACTAAATCACTTCAAAAAGTAAAACTGTTGATTTATTTCCCTTAGAGTGACTTCAGGTGTCAGTTTGTTGATTTTCACTCACAGCATCACACCAGACCAATAAAAAGTATTTTAACAGAAATGTTCACTGGCTTCCAAGTCATCCAGCGCTGCGTTGTGTGTGTCGCACAAAGATGACGTCATGATACTTTTTGTACTTTGGGGGCATCCGTCTATAGGACAACCCCCAGCGGCCCTCTGATTGGGCCGTGTGTTTGTAATGGTGCCCTGCTGGTGCTGCAGTGAGAAGCTGCAGGGGCCCAAGGACGCATCCTTGTGGAACACCTGCAGATAATTGTAGGTGAAGATAAGCTGGACCTGCTCTGACTAGTAGGACTCCATAAATATGCAACAAACCCCTTAAAGTTCATCTCAGTTCTGTGGGCCCGAGTCGTTGATGTTTTTAGCTCCAACAATCCCAGGTTCCTCTGACCGACGCCACCTGAGATTCCAGATCTTAATGTTGTGACTGCTTGGCATGTCTGCGGTGAGGTGAACGGGTTCTGTTTCTGTTTCAGGGTCGACCCAGGCCGGTTTGGGGTTCGTACCTGCAGAGCAGCAGCCTGGTGACCTGAAACCCAGAGCCCTCCTAGAGGAGCCAGACTCCACCCTGACCCAGTCCAGACCTCCTCCGGCTTCAGTCCAACTTCTGTCGGTTCCGAAAGAAGCGCCATTGGCACCGACTCTGGTCCGGCCCGCAGAACTCTGGGATCAGACACCGAAACTCGACCCGCTGCCGGAGGCGTTCCGGAGGACGACTCCTCTCCTGGCTCATCTGCCCCTGAATCCTCCCAGGATCCATGCTGACGGGCCGGCGCCGAGGGAGGAGCCACAGGCCCCGGCCCCGGCACGGGTCAAAGCCGAACCCGAAGAAGCAAGCAAAGAGCACAAAGCTGAGTCTGTGAACGCTCATGTTGAGTCGGGCTTTGACTACACGTCTGAGGAAGAGCAGCTGCCGGCGGATCAGCAGGACGCCTCCAGAACCGGGCCGTCCTCTCAGGAGACCCGGCCGCCTGAAGACGCTGCGGTCACGGCGCTCATCCCTGAGCTCGTACACCGCTGCCCCCGCTGCGGCGAGGCGTTCAGTCACAGCGCGGGGCTCCGCCTCCATCTGGAGCAGAAGAGGAAGACCTACGCCTGCGACTGGTGCTGCAAGTCCTTCGCCCAGTCGGCCGATCTGCGGCGCCACCTGCGCACGCACACGGGCGAGCGGCCGCACCGCTGCACCTTCTGCTCCAAGAGCTTCAGCCAGAGAGGGAACCTGCGGCGACACCTGCGGATCCACACCGGCGAGCGTCCGTACAGCTGCCCGTTCTGCTGCCGCACCTTCAGCGACGGAGACACCATGAAGAAGCACAAACGGACACACTCCGGAGAGAAACCGTACCGCTGCGGACGCTGCGCCAAGACCTTCACCAGCGCCAGCGGCCTGCAGCTGCACCTCAGGAGGGACCTGTGCTACGGAGCCAGCGCCTGAACGGATGGACTGAGGGGCGGCGGAGTCACTCAGAACCTCTAGGAGCAGAACCTTCTGGATGGAGTCACTCAGAACCTCTAGGACCAGAACCTTCTGGATGGAGTCACTCAGAACCTCTAGGAGCAGAACCTTCTGGATGGAGTCAC